TGCACCAATACTATCATAGTCATTGCACAAGATACTTGAGTTGATGGGCATCTGTTTCATTGTGGATGACAACACCAACGACGACTGATTATTACCAGTTGATGAACTTAGCAGTGGATCAGAAGCTGTTGTTGCTCGACTTTCAGAAATTTGTCTACCTGCAAGACCACCACCACTGCTGTCTTGTACTATCAGCTTCGGTTTAGCACTAGCATCTGATGATAGGTGGGCTACACGCTGATCAATTACACTGACGGTTTGACAAGTATGCATGCCTTCTTCAACTGCATCTGCATTTAATTCTACTTCACGTTCAAGTTGTAGAGAACCTTTATTTAACTTAGCGGTAGTAGGCATTCCCACCATTTCATCATGATTAACCAAAGACAAATCTGCACTATCATGATCATTATCATGAATATTCACTTTACCGTCAAGTTCATCATTTTGAATCTCTTTAATAACAGAAGTGGATGATTTGGGTTCCTCCTCACAAATCCTTTGAGTTTATATATCTTCACTCTGACTAGTAAAACTTTGTCAACTTGTGGATTCATAACTGCACTCTGAAGCAATAACTCCATTCTGTGACACTCTATTAAACAATGGCTTACCAGTTGCAACTACAGACTTCTTGACCACACCGTTATCGTCACACAATTCGGAGTCAGGCCTGGAGTTTACATTTAGCTTATCACTGAACTTGCTCACTTCTTCAAAGTTCACTAGTGTATGCATGGCTTGCAAACGTGTAAAACACAACCGTGTTTGTCTTGCATCTTGCAACTTATCTGTTGAGGATGTACTACGAAACCTGTTACACTCACTAATAATAATAATAATAATGTATATTCTCATATAAACATACAAATTTACATGAAAATGCATGCCATTTTTACAGGCACGATCAAGTATGATATAATATCAAATCGTAGATTGTCTACAAGTTAATAATGTTTCAACAGTTAAATATTTGATATATATATATATAAATACACATTGTCTGAACTAGGCTGTATAGCTATTGAATTGTACAATTGTTCTCCAGGTTGAGCGGGAAAATCGACTTCGTTTCGTTTTCATCCCGTGGTTGTCGGCATGCGATAACCAACCAATATTGAGGTAAGTACAACGTTTACAAGGGATTGAAAGCTGTTTTAGAAAAATTAAAGTGCTAAGGTGAATCATTAAATTGTAATGAAATAGGTAAGTGCAAGTATCATTAATAAAGAAAACTCCCTAGGCTGACAACGTTCATTTGCAATGTATAATGCTACACGTATATCTCGTACTATCATGATGTCCACTTTTGGTTTTAATACATTTATCCTCAGTTGTGCCAGTTGTTTTTGTTTTATACCTTTTTGTGCATTTAGTGCACAACCGTACCCTTCAGAGAGTAGGAATATAATAAGTCATAAAGAGCTGTAAAATGTTAGGTTTAATGGGATATAATGAGGATCAAGTAAAGACGTTATTGGAAAATGAATGAGATAAGACATTGTGAAGTGGTATTTAAAGATCAGACAATGGACAGCAAGTTAGTTTATAAGATGCCCCATAAATCTGTGCAGATCCCGCGTGGTCGCGTCTCAACAATAGGCTGAGCGAATGGTATATATTTAAAGGTAGAAGCATGATCTGTTTAGGCGTTCATTATTATCTTTTTCAAGATAAAGAACTAAGCCCTCATAAAAATCAGAAATATCTCGAGCCTTTAATTTGTATATTGCTGTTCCTGCAGAATGCGGCGATTCACCTTAGTGACCCCCACCATATCTGCTGATCAGCTAACGCCACCCTCCCTCCTTTTTTGATTTTAAGCTCAATATCTATATGTCTATATGTCTATATGCATTACTAGACATCATGGAGCCTTCTCGATATCCACCTCTCTGAGGCCTATTCGTCATCAATGATTGCGTTTTTCTCTCAGACTGCTCCATTCTAGTGGTGAGATTCAATATACTGGCAAACTTGCTCATAGATTGATTAACACTATCTTTCACCATTTTCAGGATATCATCGAACTTTGGCTCGATACCTTCATCCTACATACGGGAGCTTATCTTCACCCACTTCCTTTGCAGTCGAGTAGGTAGCGTCTTGCTATTACTTCTAGTATAAAACTCGAGTTGGGGTCACTCATGCAATTCATCGGAATCAATGCATTCTTGTAAATCAGCAAATTATTCAAAAACTCAGTGAGTGTCTGGGAGTCATCCTGTAATTGATCACCATTACTCTTAACAGCCTCGAATAATTTCCCTACAATCATCGAAGGTCTTCCAAACCTTTGACGTAGTATGCTCATAGCCTCGTAGTAGCCCTCTTTTGGCTTCATAAACTTAAAACACTGTATAGCTCTTGAAGCATCTCCAGTGCAATACCTCATCAAATACATCATTTTCAATTCATCACTTAATAAAAAACTACTCAGCACGATCTCAAACTCCTTTACAAATTGTAAATAATCAGCCGGGTTTCCATCAAAACACCGTGGTTCAAATTTAGGGAGTTTGATGTTCCTATTATCCCAGAACGGCGAAACAGTAACATCAACCATGTCATGTTTAACATCAGACACATCGTTACAATTAACAGACAAGTCACCATGACTTACTTTCCTGTTTGCATCCAAGACACTCTGTCCCTTCTTTGACCCAGGCATTGTTGAACTTGACCCAATTCCAAAAACGTTCCAGATATTGCTTGTTCAAAGAGAACTTGACCGGCACCAGGAAAGATGAATGGTGACTATCCAGACTGTCACCAGCTATCTGAATCTTCTCTGTCAGAAACTGTCAGCCACGTCTCATAAACCGTTAATGCTCAGCTCTTGCTGCACTCGGGCTCACGCTGTTCCTTGAAGTTTCTCAGAAACGCTTAGTAATAATGGACGCGAAAACCAAAACACCAATTGGCGACTCGAGGATTCTTTATTGTAACACCAACATATAAACACTGTTACAACTAAGGTCTGTGAACAAATATTACAATAATGAATCACAATATTACTTCTGACAGTTGTCTCCTGACTTCTTTCTAAACAGCGACCGATGAGACGACGACTGTCGTATTGATGCCTCCGCGAAAATTGGGGAAGTTGATTTTGAGCAAACAACCATGAATTGATCGTTCAATCTTCAACTACATTTACAAAATTATTTGGGGAAAGGTACTTATTGAGTGAAGGTAGTCATTTCAATACAAAACTTGCAGTGTACTTTTGACTAAATATATATCTGTAAAATATTAAAAGGTCTATTTGCTAATATAATTGTTTCTAAAATTAATTGCACCAACCCAACTTATTGAAGATTATAGAGAATAGAAAATCAATAAATTGGTTAGACGTTCGCTGCATAGGCAGAAGTGTTGAGCCGGATGTAATTTTTTACATAGAAGACTAGACTGTCCTTAGTTTACCCTTCTACCAACAGTTTTGGTCTTTCAGGGGGTTAGAGTGGACATGCTGATGTATCTTTTCAGGCTCCGTTTGAACCCATTCTGGTTTTCACAAGATCTAATTACAGATAGTTAGTGTTTCTGAAGAGTGCAATATTTAGTTTTGAAAATGTTTGCTGTAGTGGTTTTTCCGTGGGTAGCTACCTTGAGAAGGTGGCCTTGTTTTCGCAACTGATAGGATTTAGTATTTGTCCACGTTATGGCTAAGTTACTGTAAGTGTTTTTTAATGACTTTAAGGAGAAGAAATATGTTGCATTTCACTCTCCTCAATCTCAGGGGTTCTGGTTTCAGTCGTATGCACCTGACAACATATTCCGCCTGCTGGTTAAACCCTATTAGGGGTTTCGTGAGGAACATGTGAACATTTTTTACTTTTTTCAGTCGTATCGGACTTTACTTTCAGCGCTGATGTCATCGTATGCATTATCATATACTATCTTGAGATCATCTGCATATAGCTCGCCATACTTGATCACAGAGACTGTGTCATTTATGAATTTGTTTGTAACTGCTTGCTATCAAGTTGTGATGTAAGTGAGGCTAAGTCTGTGCTTTCAGAGGTGACTATAAATATGAGTTTCCAGCCCCCACTACGCCTTTTCCCTTGGCAGCACTACGTAAGTTGCAGTTAGATCCTTCTATCACTGCCTCTCTACGGATACTCGAGGGCTCATCAGGGACGGGAAGAAGGACATCGGTGTCCATTCCCTGTCTGATGTCGCCCTGTGACGGAGAACATTTGCCTCCTTGCAGTGACCCACGAACTGTGTCAGGTGTATTATCACTGACGCTAACTGCATCATTGGTATCTGGTCATTCATTGCTCTTCTTCTATAGTGAGGGTCCTTCGCAGTCCAGAAATTTCAATACCCCGTTAAGTATAACAATGGTTTCTCCTATACGATACTCATTAGGGCTGCAGCAGTCATTGCGCAAACACTGAGCAAGGAGTTTAAAGCAACGCATATATGCTGGAGGGGTCAGGTTGGTGCATATATTATAGAATCGACGGTTACAGTGGTCACACTGTGTGACTGCCTTAACTAGGAAAATAAACATGAAGATCACACAAGGGTTTTTAAACAAGCATGTTTTCCAGGTTAAATTTATAATTATGGAAATCAAACGCAACCTCAGAAACAAAATTAAGTAATCTAAGATAAAAATTACTGGTTTTTATAAAACTGTAGATGAATGGGAAGCCAAAATGTTTCAGAAGAAACCGAACTAAAATCCCATAAAAACTAATTACAAGCTGAGTAAGTGAAGCCAAAGTTTATCTATCGGCTTTTGTGTCGCACAACACTACAAAAGTTAACAAGAGCGTGCAAACTTCATTTCCTTTCCAGAGTCCGTCTTATAAACGAGCACACTTTCTTCTTATGCAATCACTGTAGATTGAGACAGCCTGGAATTAATGAGAACGAGTGAAATGAAATGCTTTGATTTCACGCTAGTTTCAGTCTTGTTTTATCTTTTTCTGACATTGGACTTTAATGCAGCGCTCTTCTTCACTGCTGCGTTACACAGGATGGCTGGCAATGCGCTAAAGCGGCTTATGGCTGAGTACAAACGTGAGTTCCATTTGTTTTTTATTTGTCTTGAAAATAATTTAAATGAAATCGGATCATTCCGTTACTTCATCGCCAATCAAATACTTTATGGAGTAATTATAACCGAGCTAATTAGTCTTTTGAAAGTTAAGTAAGGCATCTAGTGACCTGCACTGGTTGCCGTGCGCTCCTTGCTTAACCACAGATGACTGATTGGCAAAGTTCAACAATAGCGTCTCAAGAGTGCGAACGCACGAGCGACCTTCAGCTGACCAATCGTAAAAATGAGGAATGTTTGCTCAAAAATGATGTGTATTGACAAGAAAACGCTTGAAAACGCATTAAACAGGTTATCCTTGTCTGGCATGGCTTAAAAGTACGTTCTAGTTATAACAAGAAGTATCAGTTGCTAAGTTAGACTAGTTTCTGTGCATGTATTTACCGAGATGACTGCAGATAAACTGCTATTGTGAATCGTTTATGTCTCTCATCCTGCTTGCAGTCTTCCAAAAAAGCCCTCGGTTGGACTGTTATGGTTTCCAGCAAGAGGATAGACGAATACTTACCAGGAAAACGTGGATAATGAGACAAATTACACTAAATGACACGAACCATAAATCTACCTCTAATCGTAACCATAAGCTTAATCCTGATCCTAATCATAACCCTTATCCAAAACGTAATTCTAAACCTAATGGTAATTATAACCCTGATCCTAACCCTAACCCCGATACTTACTTTAGCCCTAATCCTGAACCTAACGAGCTATTAACATGTCCGAACAGTACTTAAAAACGTGATCTGGGTGAAATTTGCTGCCAAGTTGGTACTTACTTTACTTCGGCTATCTCCTACGGGAGGATGAGTCGGCTTCATGAACATCTCGAATCATCGCTGCCCAGGCGTGGCGATCTAATGTGACAGGGTTATCCAATTCTTGTTCCACAGACGGAGTCCTTATACGGTTTGTAGCCCCAGCCCAGGCACTCCATATCAGCCTTGACTGTACCAAGCCATGTTTTCAGCTGTCCACCCCTGCGACATCGCCAGGATGGAAATGGCGAGGGATTTAGAACTGATTTGACCAGATCGTCATCTGGTCGGTGCAGAACATGGCCAAACCACCGAAGGCGACGTTGTTGGACCAGTGCTGGAATTTGGTTGATGTTGTAGAGAGTTCATGAAGTTTCATGGGAATTAGGTGCGAGTGATGTCCCCAGGATCGCTCGGCCTTTTGTTTGAGAGTGCAGCTCTAGCCTTTACACAACCAAGTGTGACCTACAAGGCAGTAGGAGTGGAGTAGGGAGTCCACTATCCATTGGCAGCCGGTGACCGGAGTCCAGTTCATACGCCTTTTTGAATGGGGCCAGACATCCAGTGCATCCAATAAGCCCTTTGTCCATATGTCTGCTAAGTTGGTGAATAGCGTTGATATTTCAGCTATGATAATGACAGATGCCGTTAGCCAACGACTAGCATGTGTTCAAGGCCATTGAAGCGTTCACACTCCTGGGACGCTATTGTTGAACTTTGCCGACTGATTAGTTTACCTAATCCATCTCCAGCTGATTTATTTCTTGGAATGTCTTTATTTGCCAATAACTAACCTTCGAATGTATGCATTCAGTTAATATCTACATACTTCTAATACACTTATTGTTATCTCCTGATAATTGAGGCTTGTTCTACTCATTTCTCTATTCGGAAATGTGGTTCATTGGTTCAAGCACTTGACTTATATTCAGTGAGTACTGGGTTCGAAGGCATGCAGTTTTATCACTGTAACCGTTGGTTGCACAATATGTGCACCAACCTTACCCCTGCAGCATACAGACATTTCTTCAGACCCCTTGCACACTAGTTGTGTAATGATTGCTGCAGATTTACTGAGTATCCTATAGGATAAACCATTGTTATGCTTAACGGGGCATTGAAATTCCTAGACTGCAAAGGACCCTCAGTACAGGAGAAGAGCAATGAATGACCAGATACCGATGATGCAGCTAGCATCAGTGACAAGACACCCTACACTTGAGCGGGTTATGTTCCATCTGATTCAACCTAGGCCAGTGTAGTATCATTAGCCCTCACACAATGAATGGGGCTCATAGCCTAGCCCTGGGCATTTGAGTATAAACTGACTAACTCACTTCTATATGCAATAGTTTACAATGGTTGTTAAAAACTCACCTTATTTCACAGTGTAAAAATCTAAATTTTTATTCTTTTTGAATACTGTATTATATTTTACTTATACGTTTTTAAAAGTGTGTACTGCCACTAAACGTAGAAACTTGAAATAATGTAATTTCTTTTGGTTGTTCACATTCTTAAGTCATTTATTTAATCGTGTCATTAGCTAATTTTTTTGTTTATGCACGTGTAATTTCGCTTCACTTCAGAGTTGACAATCAATCCACCAGAGGGTATTGTAGCTGGACCAGTGGATGAAAGAAATTTCTTTGAATGGGAAGCGTTAATTGCGTAAGTTGAATATTGCAAATAAATAAGTAAAGACCATTTCAACACACTGACTACCTTTCAGCTTATTTTATTAAGCTATTAACTTTTCATCGTTTTAAATGATCCTGTTCGTAATTTCTATCACAGAGTAGTGTATATTGTGAAAATATAACTGGATTATATATATATATATATATATATGCGCGTTGAAAAATCTGTTTTGAACAATTGGTTCTTAGTACCCTGAAGACCTCCCTGACCGATAACTACTGTCTTGGCATAATGGCCAGCCTTGCATAGTGTAACGACCCAACGAGCTACACTAGCTAGAACTCCTTCAGGTCCTGCCGTGCCAAAAGGTTAGCGGTCAGATTATAATCGGTTATCATCACAGTGTAAATCATTTACACTATTTGGGGAGGGGTGTGTGTGGGCAAAATCGTACTGCTAGGGAATATGGATGTAGCACCAGTAAGGTGCTTCTCTCATGACTAGGAAGCTACCTATGCTGCCTCTCCACGCTAAAGAGGATGGGTTAGAAAAGGTCTACCCTGAAAACTGTACATCCCAACTTATCTTATGTAGGTCGACAGCCTCCGGTAAGATTTTAGTTCTAATACAACTGAAGAAACAAACTCAAAGAGGCCGTGTGTGATCGGCGTCAAACACTTGTTTTCTGGGTTCTATGGTGACGTAACACAAGTACCTCGAGAAAAGAACAACTTCCACGGTGTGGTTATCTGGGGAGTAATAACCGTCCAAACACTTCTGACAGTCTACACCTTATTTACGTGGCTAAAACTAACAGTCAAAGACCTCATGGATTCATGTGAACTTTTGGTTTGACCATTTCTCACTCTCTTTTCAACTGTCAGCTAACATTGCTCGTCATAGAATGCGTTAATTCGATGTGCTTAACATGTCTTAGACATCTTAGATAGTTGAAGGCAATCGGCCACAGGAAGCCTTGGACCACATAGGTTTCGTGCTAGTTGGCACTCACCAGTCAGCAAGGTGTATGCATCTGCAACCACCTTGAAGGAACTCATGTCCCCTCTGAGATTCGAACTCGCGTCACCTGACTAACAGAATTCAGTCTGCATCAAAGAGAGGACTAGACACGTCGCACTAGTTACTAGTGTCCAATCAAAATACCCAGTACAGTCCTACAGGAGGTCAATCACGAGCCCGAATAGCTAACTCAGTGGTAGCGTCTCTGACTGCGCGGATCACTAGGTGACGCGGGTTCGAATGTCCTCAGAAGGGACATGAGTTCCTTCAAGGCGGTTGCAGATACGCCTTGCTAACTGGTGACTCCCGACTAGCACGAAAACTAGGTTAGGCAAGGATTCCTGTGGCCGATTGCCTCCAACCATCTAAAATCATCAAATCAGTGTGCACCGTGATGGCGAGCTACCTAGAACGGTGATCACATTACAAGCCTGACTGATAGAATTCAGTCTGCACCAAACAAACAAAGGACTAGACACGTTGCACTAGTTACTGGTGTCCAGTCAAAATGTCCTAGCCATGTCAATTAACTCAGTTTCTAAATCTTATCAGTTGACTTCCCTCCTTACCCCTAACACTACGCCTAACGTTAAAACCGAGCATATATACAGTGTAACATGACAAGTTGGAAGCAGATACTTACAGTTGAAAACAGTTAGTCTCGTCATATCTCACACTTTCAACTGCTATCAGTCGTAAAATAGGGGATGAACTCTCGCAAAGTGCACATCTCCTTTGATGAATAGCTGAATACTATACCTGCATCGAAAAGGACATAAAATGGCGAATGCCAAGCGAACCTTTTATATTCTTGATGAAACTTCATCTACAATCGGTGTATTAGTGAAGTAGTCAGCACACATCCAATTACTTCGCTCTCTCTCTCTCTTTCTTCTTGTATCGATCAGTCTTGTAGCATCATCTTATATACGGTTTAGGTGAATCGCATGGCCCCGAGTATTGACTAAAGTAAAATGTGACAATGAACTACTTGATGGTGTGCAAGTAGTATAGATTGATACCTGACAATTTTTAAGTGGTATATGTTCTTTCCTATTTTATATTACTCTGCGCCATTGAGGACGATTTTTAATCATATCACAAACAGTCTCAAGTCATTAGTTCTTGGCATTCCGATAATCCTAACTGTCAGTCTACACCTCTCTACGTGACTGAAACCAACACTCAAAGACGTCATAGATTGATGCTTTGCGTTGATTTGACCATCTCTAACTCTTTTCTAGCCTAATCTTTCATGTCAGCTAATATTGATCGACAAGAAAGGTGATGCCAGTTAGCTAGTTAGTTCCCCTGGCAATTGGCATAAACGAGAAGCCAGGGTATATCATCAGCCATCATATACAACTTATTGTGTAGCTCATTGTCAACTGTGTGTAACTGCGAATGACTCGTGGCGGTCAGCAATGGTTATGTTTTATCTCCATCATCCGTATCCGGGATCTCGGTGGTCACATCTTTATGAACAGATATGAGTGTTCGTTAGCTTATTCTAGAAGCAAATATAAAAAAACGAAATAGTTTAGTTAATTCTGTGTGTGGGCACTGTAGTAGTATGTCATTCCATAATAATTTGTTTATCAGATATATCACATACTTACTTTGCTTCGGCTATCTCCTACGGGAGGATGAGTCGGCTTCATGAACATCTCGAATCATCGCTGCCCAGGCGTGGCGATCTGATGTGACAGGGTTATCCAATTCTTGTTCCACAGACGGAGTCCTTATACGGTTTGTAGCCCCAGCCCAGGCACTCCATATCAGCCTTGACTATACCAAGCCATGTTTTCAGCTGTCCACCCCTGCGACATCGCCAGGATGGAAATGGCGAGGGATTTAGAACTGATTTGACCAGATCGTCATCTGGTCGGTGCAGAACATGGCCAAACCACCGAAGGCGACGTTGTTGGACCAGTGCTGGAATTTGGTTGATGTTGTAGAGAGTTCATGAAGTTTCATGGGAATTAGGTGCGAGTGATGTCCCCAGGATCGCTCGGCCTTTTGTTTGAGAGTGCAGCTCTAGCCTTTACACAACCAAGTGTGACCTACAAGGCAGTAGGAGTGGAGTAGGGAGTCCACTATCCATTGGAAGCCGGTGACCGGAGTCCAGTTCATACGCCTTTTTGAATGGGGCCAGACATCCAGTGCATCCAATAAGCCCTTTGTCCATACGTCTGCCGGTGAGCTCCGATGAGCTTCATTCGCCAGTCGTTGGAGGTTTGGAATCAGGGTTTAGCCATCTCCCTTAGACTGTCATCCAGTGGACAGTCAACCCGGTGAAGAGCACCGGGCATCCGGTTTTGCCCTCTCACTTCGGTGAAATAAACTCCTCCGCCACGTGAAGGCAGTGAGTAGGACTTCCTCGGGAGAGGCTATGTAAGACGCCCGGTCATATGGGGAGCATTTCAAGAGGTGTACGGAGGGATGGCGAACCCGCAGCGCAAGGCACCCACCCCCGACCATCCTGAGGCTTTGGAGGCTATATATATATATATATATATATATATATATATATATATATCACATGGTGAAACAGTATCATTTGCTGGGTGACACTTTGAACACAATTCCTTCTTGTTCATAATCCTATTGATTAGACAATCGTACAACTTCAAGACTTACGTTTTATAGTTTTACGAACTGATTTTTGACCAAGAAGTTGAAGTTAGAACCAAAGTGTCACCAGAAGACATACTGTTAGGAGTACAGCTATGCCTGACTTTTACAGTATTTAAATTCCAAGGGGAAATATAGAAACAAACTGGAGGAGTAGCTATTGGGTCAACAATATCCATGATAGTGGCAGACATATTCATCGATAGGTGGGAAGACTTAGCGATTGAAACATTCAGCCCCACCCTAGAAGTATGGTGGAGGTATATATAGATGACACATTCATCATACTTAGAACACAGGACATAAATAGATTTTTCGAACACATCAACTCAAAGGTAGAGGCAATTCAATTCACTTATGAATTGGAAAGTCAGGAAGGGGAGCTTCCAATGTTAGATTGAAACGTAAAACGGAAAGAAGATGAGAAGTTAAACACTAGTGTATACAGGAAACCTACACATTCAAACAGATATTTGGGCTTCCGATCATCCCATCCTATGTCAGTAAAAATAGGATTGGTGAAATGTTTATGTAACAGAGCACAAATCTAAGTAGTACCAAGGAAAATCTAAGACAGGAGGTGATACACATAAAATAAGCCTTGAAACTCAATAATTGGTCTGATAAATTAGTCAGGAAATATGCAGCGAAATGTAAAAATAAAATAAATAATGGTAGTAGTGATAGTGATAATGATAATAACAGTGATAATAACAATAATAATGACGACATGCATGTCAAATATGCTCAAGACAACACCAACAATAAGGAATCTAAATCATCAGTAGTAATTCCATACAAGGAAGGAACCTCGGAAACCACCTTACGCAGAATTCTTAACGAGGCAGGAATAGAAGTGGCCGCCATTCAAACCAACCACAAACTCAATTAGAAACAAGATTTGTCGGTTAAAGGATCAGTTCTGTGGAGTCGTTACAAACAAAACAATTTAGTTTATTTAATACCCTGCTGGAATGGCTGTCAGGTCAAATGCATAGGTCAAAGTAGTAGAACGGGGGCATTCAAACTAGTCGAGCATAAAAACCTAGCAGCAAAATCTAGATTAGTTGACTGTAATAGGATGATAAATCCGGAGAATATTTCAGCTACAGCACTACATGCAGTTACACACAACCATACAATAGGATGGGATGGGGTAAGATGACAGTTTTAGAATCTAATGTCACAGCGGGGTGGAGGGAGGGATTGATAACAGAGGCTTTGTTTATCGAATCAACTGAGAAGATAGAACACGTGTAATAGAAATGATTCAACACCTGGACATTTGGAAAAATCTACTACCCCTACGACGACAAATAGGAAAGAATAAAAAACACACTATAAAACCCAAGTTTCGAAATTGTGTGGTTATAATTGAAATGATTATGAACAATAAATAAATTCTGTTCGACAGGTCGAACTTACCTGGCTCCCGAGTTCTTGGTGGTCGAGAATGCTGTCATCCTGTGTGGAGGCTCACCATCGCACTTCGGTGAGTTGAAACTCGCGACGGACCTTAATCAGGTTTTGACTACAGCTCTGGTGTCTCCTCATTTGCGGAAAAATCTTTTCGCCTTTTACTAAAGATTTCCGTGGAGAGGCACAGTGCAATGAGTCTTATCTCATTTTTTCCAGCTCTATCTTCGGACAGAGTATTTCGTGCGTCGGTGAAACAGCGGTTAGGACGCTCGCCAACCATGTAAATGGTCCGGGGTTTGATCCCCGGCCGACACATACCTGATATCAAGTGGTTGGCCTGCTAAATTTGGGTGACCGATATCACATGCTGAATGTTCTATACTTGTACCAAAATATTGTGTGGAATCAAGCTATAATACAAAAAATAGTACTGTTTCACTGTGTGATTTATCTAATATAGCATGCAGGATTTCATCATGAGCTGACATCAGTTAGAGAACCACTGGATAACCAGCAGGGAGTACTGGATAGTCAGCTGTTTCGTCCTAATTTGAGACTCTTCACCAATCAAACAAAATCCCTACAAAATCAATAATTGAAAATGTATCTAATAAACAAATCAATGTGGAATAGTGTAGACTATAAACACAGAGCTGATCCACTCTTCTTAAATACTATCAGTTCTATTTTTAAAAAATACTATAAGTATTTTTCACTGGTAATTGCCCTTGAAAGTTGAAGTATTTTCAAATGAATATTAATTTTCAAATCTCTCATATTTTGTTTCTCCTCCTTTTATAATTGATTTAATTTTTTTTGTGTGTCTAATTATTACACAGTGGACCAGAAGGTACACCATTCGAAGGTGGTGTCTTTGCCGTACGTTTAAACTTCCCATCAGATTATCCATTATCTCCGCCAAAAATGCAATTCCTAACTGAAGTTTTTCATCCGAATAGTAAGTAGAAATATTACTGATGTGTATTTTTACGAGCTTGACCAGGGATTGATATCAGTTAAAGAACCATTGAATAACCAGCCAGGGAGTACTGGACAGCCAGTTGTTTCGTCAGCCTAGTTTGGGAATCATCGGAAGTACGCACCCACCCCACTGCCAGGGTTCGAACACAGGACGTTCCGGTTACAAGGCAAGCTAGCTTGTATACCATTCAGCCACCTGGACCCGACTCCTCAATGCCCAGTCCATGAATTTTAAATTCTACCAATTCGTGATTTAGCGCAACTGGCACCAACCAATATCATCGGTGGGAACTCCATCCTCACACTTTACCGGATGGACCTCACTGGTCACAAATTCTTACTAGAACTCCAGGAAACTCCGTTCTGTAGCAAGTGACTAGCGAGCATCAGGTTAATTTTCAAGAGTTCGGTTTCCAAGGATTAAATGGTCAAACTCGTTAAAATAAATCTAATCCTTACAAATCAACTCTTGCAAAAAACTGATGTATATATTTATTTGTTTGGAGGATTTCATTATGGGGTGGGAAGTCATGACCACAAGGGTACAGCAGATCGAAGGTGAAAACAGTTTTTCATCGAAGGAGACATCGAGAAGTGGTCGCGCTACGTCGTGAATTGGCATAAGTTAGAATTCATGGGCTTTGGCCACCCTTAGTCGTGTAACACACTCACACTCCACACAGATGAATGCCTACAAGTTGTTATTATTTTTGTTGACAACAATAACAGGTTGATGTCTTGACGATAACATTCACTAATTAATCATAGGAAATGAAGAGAAAAGAAATCATATCATTATATCTTGCGTACGAAGATCAGGGTACATTCTGTAGAAATAGCCACAATCTCCCTTCTTTTGACTAGAGGAACTTAATGAGGACGATCTAAGTTAATAGGCTCTGGTTCACACTAGACTAGGCACCCGAATGATTAACCTCTCAGTCATGGGTTCAAACCCCCTCCCACTACTTACTGTGTTTGGGGGATAGCTAGGGAGTAACATTAGTCCTCACTCAATAGGTTTATGCTAAGTATTGATCTGTGATGATCAACATAAAAATGTATGCCTGATTTGGTGCTAACAGCTAATGTTTTTTAAATATTAGTTAGAATCTAAATACATGTAAAGTTTTCATCATTACTGTTATTATTATTATTACCATCCCCTTGGGTTCCGAGTGGAACATAGAGCTTCAACAACACATCTCCACTATGTTCTATTCTCTGCTGTCCTCTTCAGCTGGCTGGAGCCACGATTGCCCATAATCTCTCATCTCCTCTTCTCCCACAACACACCATCTCCTCCATGTCACCATCGCACTGAAGACCCCCACTCGTTGCTTCCTATTGGGATTCTACTCCAACGATGGATGGCCTGCGTTGAGCGTCATGTTATTCGATGGCCTCCTCAACGTATGCCCGATCTACCTTCATTTTCTCCTACATATTTGTTGAGCAGTCGGCTCTCGCCCCTATTGGTTTGTTGCCAGCCTGAGCTTCCCTCTTCCTGACCGGCCATTTGATCTTCAGTGTAGAGTGAAGCGGGGAGCTATTGATAAAAGTCTGCACTAGCCTGTTGGAAATCCTTCCTGTGACTCGCTGGTCAAGTTTCTGACCCGCATGGAAGAACTGACTGTGTTGAACAGAATCCGAATCATGTTGTTTATGCTGACTGAGTGCAGTGCAGAAGATTTCTGAACTGTTTTGAGGTTGATGAAGTCGTATCTTGCCTTTCCGATTCTGGCTGGCTTTGAAATCTTCACCGGTCCACCATAACCATTACTACTTCCCCCTTATTATTGATTATTTTTTAAATCAATATATTGTATGGGATATTATCCTGTATTTATTTTCTCTAACATTAGTTTATCCAGATGGACGTGTATGCATTTCTATACTCCACGCTCCTGGTGACGATCCAATGGGTTATGAAAGTTCAGTTGAACGTTGGAGTCCAGTTCAATCTGTTGAAAAGATTCTTTTATCTGTTGTCAGTATGCTTGCAGGTAAGTACTGCCTTTATTAAAATTATTACTATTATTATTGGTGCTTATCATTTATGATGTTCTCGTGTATTGTCATTTTATTGCTAGATTACTTGACTGACACTCACGGGGAGAGAGAGAGAGAAGGGGTTGTTCGGGCGGCGAATTTAAACTATAGGCTCCCAGGGGTTCAAATGCTCCAATGAAATGACTTTAAACGCGCATGCTAGTTGTTGGCTAATGACACCTATCATTATTTTAGCGCAAATATGAATGCTATTCACCAACCAGGGAGAAAATTTCACCCAGGTCATGTTTTTGATTACTGTCTGGAGAGAATGTGTTTATAGCTCGTTAGGGTTAGGGTTGCGATTAGGGATGGGTTTGGAGTTGTTATTGTTTATTTTAATTTGCTTTATAATCTACATTTTCCTAGTAAGTAATCGTCGATGGTACAGAGGTAGAATACTCGCCGACCACGCAGGTGGTCCGGGTTTCGATCCACTGCCGCCAACGTACTCCTTTGCCTCGCTAAGTCAGTACTAAGACTGGTAAAGAGGCAAGGTTGGGCATGAGGCTAGCAACCCTATCCCGTAAAGAGAAACACCACTGCTACAGAAACTTCAAGCCTCTAGTTTGAAGTTGCCTTATGTTCCACTGGAAACGTAAAGGAATAGAAAAAAAGTCGATCCTCTTAGTGAAACCATGGTTTTTCAACCGACAGCTTTTGGAGAAGACTGCAAAACAGGATATAAGAGCAATAAACGGGTCATAAAACAAGCTCAACTTAAGTCACCTCACTGAATGCATGTACAGAACACTAGTCAAACTTAAAAACTGGTGCCCCTCATTCTAACCGAGACGTACTTTTAAATCATGTCAGAGAAAGATACCGTTTTTAATGTATCCTCATGCATTTTTCTCGTTTATAAACGTCATTTTTTTTAGCAGAAAGACGCTTATTTTTATGGTTGGTCGGCTAAAGGTCATTTGTGCGTCCGCATCCCCTTGCACCCTTTAGTTTAAAAGTTTGCCCTTCAGCAATAAGAAGACATTGTTTATTATCTGAAACGTGTAATGCTGTATTTGCGCAACACATTTCCAACATTCTGATCACACACACACACACACGAGTACTTGTCATACACAGTTTTTATAGAAGGCGAGAAGGCGTGAATCATTACAATACAGGTCAGATTGTGTACAGGTCAAGGTAACAAATAATGGATAGGACGATGACGTAAGGGTGTGGGGTTAGAAATGAAAAACAAAGAAGGGCGGAGGTGAAAATATCATTAAATAAATCGAACATTGGTTCTAGATTGGATTACCAAGGCAGGTTTAAAGTAATAACAAATAAATTTTGGACACATAAGACAAGTTTAAACCTTTTTACAGTCAAGGCTTCAATGAATTTAAGTATGTGACCCAACCTTGTTTTATATATATAGGGTTAAAGGCATTATTGAAATCAACCTCATGACCCATCTCTATCATGTGTTTTTCGTTATAAATGATGTTGCACATCTATTTCCAGGATCAATTGTGTCTGGCGATTTTATTTGTTGTTGCAGCCACTTTGGAATAGGTTCTGTAGCCCTAACCTGCAAAGACCGATAGGTCTTCCCTATGTACGTGTATACACACATACATGTAGACTGTGGTAAACACAATGGGATGTGACACTATCATTCGGATGCTGTGACGGTTTATACGACAGAATAGATTTCATTTTCCCTACAATGGTTGCATAGTAAGTTCTGTTGATTGCCCCGCTGAATCTTTGCTTAGTCATCAGACTTTGTTGATCACCCTTGAATGGCAGAGATCTATAAACGTCCTTTTGAAAGCTGACTGAATCGGTGGGTCCTTCTGGTAACACTTAATGAACTGACAGTATTTTAGTGAAGTGTTGTTGTGTTTCTCCTTCAATGGTGCTGGCTGTACATATATGTGGTGAATGCGTTTGAACACTTAAACAACGCTTTTTTTGTACTGCAGTGAACAAAAACTATGATAATTTAGATACTGTCCTGTCCATACGAACCATTCTGTAGACAGATCGTTTCATTGACCCATCTTGTCGGCTGGTCATGAGTACATCTGAAATCGGCTTCTGCTTTGGTAAACCAAACTAGAGCTGATGTTTGATTTACTTTATAATATTTTCACCTCTTTTCATTCTTTGCTTTCTTTTTCTTTTCTAACCCCACACCCCCTTACGTCATCTCCCTATCCATCATTTGTGATCTTGACCACCTGTATTGTAATAATTCATACTCTCTTGCCTTGTATGACAAGTACTCCTGTGTGTGTGTGTGTGTGTTCAGAGTGTCGGAAATGCGTTGAACAAATAAATTAGACGTCTTTCAGATAACAAACAACGTCTTGTTTTTTTTTTGAAATTCATAAAGGGAACTAACTGGCTTAAAAATTTATTAAGAACACTATATTCAGCGATGAGACTCCTTTCAACGAGTTTATCATCAAGCTGTACAATCGTATATATACATATATATGGTCTATAAGAAATTATATCCGGTGAGGGAATCGAATCATAGGTGTGAATGCATAAAATAATAATAGTATGAAATTAAAATATTTGCGGTTATAATCACAATGAAATGTCAAGTAGCAAAACAATTAATGTCATATATAGAATAATACATAAGATGTTGGAAAGGGATGCATAATTACAGAATTAGTAGGCGAATATAAAATGTTACATAACATAGTGTGAAATCTGATAAGGTAGAATTCAACATTGTAAAAACGAAAAAATAATTTTGGATTTATAATGACAATTGGGACAAGCGGAAACAATTCAGAGTGAGATTAGTAATAGTAATAATAATCGTAGTAATAAGGGAAATGTACATAGAATAACTAAATAAACAAAATAAATAAATGCCTATCCTTCTACGGCCAAGTTAGCATGGGTTCGGTAGATGATGTTAAAATCATGGTCAGACTTGGCAGAAGTCGATCAGGTGTTCCAGAATAGAGCTTCGCACACACACTTCCTTTCTCCCTTATAAAGCCGTGTGGCTGGAATATGTTCTCGTATCCGCGTGGAAAGCAGTAAGTAAGACGTTCTTTGCAGTAAAATTACATATGACTTTCACCAGCCGCAAGTTGTTCTCTGCATCTGTGTATAAGATAAACTCTTCCGTCTGGCCGCCTCTATGTGCATCTATCAGTTCACCAGCTCTTGTGGAGCAAGGTACCATTGGCCGTAGTCAGAGGACGCTTTCCACACGGATACGAGAACATACCGAATCCATGCTAACTTGGCCGTATAAGGATAGACCTTTATTTATTTTGTTTATTTAGTTATTCTACGTACTTTTACCTTATTACTTCGATTATTATTCTTATTATTACTATTCTCACTCTGAACTGTTTCCACTTGACCCACTTGTCATTTCAAACCCAAAATTATTAATTTTTATTTTTTTACACTATTGAATTCTTACGAGTTGATCACGGATTGATATTAGTTTGAGAACCATTGAAAACCAGGGAGTACTAGACAGCTGGATGGATGTCCCACCAACGACAATGGTTAGGGTCGCGCTAAATCACGAATTGGTAGAAGTTAGAATTCATAGACTGGCCATTGAATCGGGTCCCAGTGGCCGAATGGTATGCAAGCTAGCTCGTCTTGTAACCGGAAGGTCATGAGTTCGAATCCCAGTGGGTGCGTACTGCCGGTGATTCCCAAACTAGGATTGTAACAGCTGTCCAGTACTCCAGTGCTGGTTTTCGATGGTTCTCTAACTGATATCAGTCCGTGATCAGTTAGAGCGAACCATTGAAAACCAGCCAAGGAGTATTGGACAGCCAGATGTTTTCCATTATGGGTAAATTTTGTTTTGATAAAGTCTCACAGTGTTATACAGTAATGTTTACTGATGACGTTTCGAGCACAATTTATTGCTCATAATTGGATTATGAGCAATAAATTGTGCTCGAAACGTCATCAGTAAACATTACTGTATAACACTGTGAGACTTTATCAAAACAAAATTTACCCATAATAGAATTACACTCTACCACAGTGCACAAGTTTTATTCTTATATCAATGAGCCAGATGTTTTGTCAGCCTAGGTTTTGGAATCATCGGCAGTACACACCCACCCCACTGCCAGGGTTCGAACCCAAGACCTTCCACACCAAACCAAACTATAGAAAATTAATCTGATGCTCGCTAGTAATTTGCTACAGGATGGAGTTTCCTGGAGTTCTAGTAAGAAGTCATGACCAGTTAGGCCCATCCAGATGTCACGTGTGAGGTTGGATGTTTCAACGAAGACACTGGCTGGGGTCGTGCTAACTCGCGAATTCATAGAAATCAGAATTTATCAGCCATTGAATCGGGTCCCGGTGGCTGAATGGTATATGAGCTTGATAGCCTTGTAAGCGGGATGTTCTGGGTTCGAACCCTGACAGTGTGGTGGGTGCGTACTACCGCTGATTTCCAAACTAGGATGACGAGACTACTGTCCAATACTCTAGTGTTGATTTTCAATGGTTCTCTCTAACTGATATCAATCCGTGATCAACTTGTAAAAACATAACTAACCCTTACAAACCAAACTATAGAAAAATATTGAATTCTATCTTCTCAAATTTCACACCATATTATGTAACATTTTATATTCGCCTACTAATCCTATAATTGCACACCCTTTTTCAAGTTCTATCCATCCTATGTGTTATTCTATATATGACATTGATTGTTTTGCTACTTGACATTTAACTGTGATCGGTTACTGTGCGTCGCTGGCACAATGGTTAGGACTCTCGCCGACCACGCACATGGTCCAAGGTTCGAGCCCGGACCGACGCACACCTGATATCTATGTTCGGCCTGCAAAATTTGGGCTACCGATATCCATGCTGAAAACCCCATACTTGTACCAAAAATACAGTGTGGAATCAAGCTGTAAATCAAAAATCAAAAATTATAATCACAAATATTTTAATTGCATTCCATACCATTATTATTATTATTATTTCATGTATTCACACCTTTGACCTAATTCTGTCACCGGATATAATTTCTTAAAAGACACCATATATGCATACAATTGTACAGCTTGATGATAAATTCCTTGTTGTAAGGGGTCTCTTCTCTTAATATTATGTTCTTAATGCTACAATGGAAATTATTAAATTGTTAGAAATTATTGTATATTTTTATGAAATGACACCTTAAACATCTCCCCAATAATCTGTTTTTTTGTCGCATTTTCCCCTTTATTATTATTATTATTATTAAAAGAACCAAATGATGAAAGTGCAGCCAACGTGGATGCAGCAAAAACTTGGCGTGAAGATAAAGCACGTTTCAATAGTTTAGCTCAACGAAGTGTACGTATTAGTCTGGGTATAGCAACAGAATAATAAATAACCTAGAATTCCACATTGCTACTACTAGTAATATATATCAGTAGTAGTGCTTCTTTCTGTGAAAAAATTTTTTTAACATTTGTTTTTTATCTTTATTTCAAATTTTTCATAAATTGTTACTTTTTAAAACGAAAAATGATTTTCTCTTTTTGTTTTGATTGTATTTTGTGTTAGTTTCGCTTACTTTCACTTTTCGTGTTATTATTATTATTATCGTCATCCTCATTAGTGAGTGTGACCTGACCTTGAGTTCTTTTTTGCCTTTGGTTCATTAAAACAACTGTAACTTTGTTTAAAAATTATTTTGAAATATTAATAGTGATATTGTAAAGAAAGGGCACACATTAGGCACATTTGTGTATTGCCTCCCCCTTCACATATGCTCGACTTTATTTTCGGCTGTTGTGAATCATTTAACACAAAATCTATTGAGCATAATAAATTGAAACCTTGAACAATTAATTATTCTACAACTCTTTTTTTTCTTCATACATTTGGTTCCTTTGATAAATTTCGATAAAAAAAGGAAGACGAAATTTTCAGGATAAAATGATATCGTCATTCTATTTCACAGGTTCTCATCAGCTGCGCATACCCCGACATGAAATTACAATGGTTATATAGATGATAATAATAACATACTATAATGTTTGAGTGGTAGTAGGCAACTATCCTTCAGGCTATGGATTGTAAATTTAATTCGAACTGGCTGTATAGAATGAACTCACTATCGAGCCAGTAGCTTGTGGCATGGTGAAGGCAGTCAATCATTGACTGACAAGATTGGTCTTAAAGGCAGATTTGCTGTATGGAATTTTTAGCAGGCCGTACATAGACGGCAAGCAGGCGTCCACCTTTTGACTTCAGTTTATTGTATATTTCGTTGTTAATTAGTTTCTTCATTAGAAGTTCTTTGAGACATTTATTTACTTTATTTTCAAATGACGTTGTTATGAAGATAACCAACCAACCGCAACATCCAGCTCCAATCACCATCAACGGGAGGGATTTGAAAGAGGTCACTTCATTCACTTATCTAGGGAGCATTGTCTCAACTACAGACAGTCGGAACGGACGAGGATTTCAAATCGAGCGAGAATCGGGAAGGCGAGCGAAAAACACATTCATCAACCTGAAACTAATCTGGAAATCTTCGTCACTCAGCATCAACAACAAAATTCGGTGGGATTTTCATTACGAACAACGTCAAGTCAGTCAGTTTTTCTATACGGATCAGAAACTTGGCGGGTCACGAAGAATTTTTCCAACAGTCTGTTGCAGACCTTTATCAACAAACAACTGTCTTCGCTGGATCTATAGTGAAGATCAGATGACCGGGCCGAAAAGAATCACCAACAAGAAACTATGGGAACAAACAAAACAAGAACCAATCGCCAGCCAACAAATATGCAGGAGAAAGTGGAGATGGATTAATGGACACTCGCTAAGGAGGCCGCCGGGTGACATCGTGCGTCAGGTCATCGCTCGAGTGGAACCGGAAAGGGAAGCGGCGAGTGGGACGTCAGTGCGAGGGTGACATGGAGGAGATTGTGTGAAGAGGAGCTGAAACAGTATGGACCAACATGGATGCAGGTAAAAAGTTCAGCAGAAGACAGAAGCAAGTGGAGATGTGCAGGTGAAGCCCTCTTTTCCACTAGGAACCCAAGGGAACAATAATAATATGTATACAATCAGCTTTGTTCATTATAACAACCCCAGAGCCTTTATCCGGTCTAAATATGACGATTTCATTGTTCTCTTAAGGTTTCTTGAGAACTATTCTATACTGTTCGGTCAGGATCTTCTGCTTCTCCAATGGCGATATGTGGTATTGGTTAGTAATATCAAGGACAGCAAATTGACTACGATTTACCGAGGCGATCGCAATCGTTTTATTTAAACCAGACTTATGCATACAGAAAGAGAGTGTGATTAACCTCTCACTCCATTGGTAAATGAATTTTGATTTCGATTTTGATTACATTAATAAGTCATCTAATTCAAATCTCAATCTTATAAACTGTAACCACTTTTATTTTTTGAGTTGCTGTGTGAATCTACAAGCTAACACTGTTCTGCTAATTATTTTTTATCTGTTTTCTGTCTTACCCCTACCCCTTTTCTTTTCAACTTTAAAAACGTATAAATTGATGATGAACACTTAAACTAAAAACATTGTAATGCTTTCATTTTGGATGCGTCAATTTTATAGTATCCCTTCTCTCAACTACCAGTTAAACTTTAAAGTATGTTATTATCATCTATATAAGCATTTTAATTTGAGGTAGTGCTGTGCAGCTGATGAGAACCTGTGAAATAAAACGACGAAATCATTTTATGTTGCAAAATTTGTCTTCCTTTCTTTATCGAAACTTCTTTTTTGTTATATAGAAATTATGGTATCATTCGTAGTGGGATACCAAATAATAAAAAAAACACAGTGTTCAGTAAAGAGGCTCTTTCCACGGCGAATTTATCTTCTTCCTCAGCTGTACAACTGCATTTATGCCGAGTGTTTTCATCATCTTAGGGAGTGGGCGAATGGTCATCACCAGTACCTAGGAGAAGTTGAATAAGGTTGATAGAGGAGTTGAATAATGGTGCTAGAGATATAAGGACTGTGTTAGAGTATAAATCCATTATGGATACAATTTATTATGATAAAGTTTTAGTTTATATAAACGAAGTCAGAAAGTTGTGTGAGTAGTGCCTTGATATGATTATGAGCGGTAATAAATTGTTCTCGTAACGTGGTCATCAGTAAATATTACTGTATAAAACGCTGTGAGACTTTGATGATATTAGATGGTTGGAGGCAGTCGGCCACAGGAAGCCCACCATCCTGACCTAGGTTTCGTGCTAGTTGATACTCACCAGTCAGCAAGGCGGCGTATCTGCAACCGCCTTGAAGGAACTCATGTCCCTTTTGAGAGAGGGTTCGAACCTGCGTCACCCAGTGCTGTCTGCATTCGGAGACGTTACCATTGAGCTAGCTATTTAGGCTGGCTCTCGATTTACCTTCTGTCGGACTGTAGTGGATACTTTGATCAAATCAATGTGCACTGTGATGGCGAGCTACCTAGAATGATGGCCACATTTCAAACCTGACTGATAGAATTCAATCTGCACTAAAGGGAAAATATAGTATTACGTAATAGTTCGAAAGAATTAATTGACAATAAAAAAGTTGGTTGAAATCAATAGAATCATTTCCATGGTAGTGAAAACGGTTGAAGAGAAATTCTCTTTACTATACACAGCTGAAACCCTACCTAGTTTACTAGTTCGCTAGTTTTCCAGCCCGCTGAAAGTCTGAGAAAAGTGGGAGAGTGATGCATGGGACCAGCGACTCTATCCCAGAAAACCAAGCAAACTACTACAGAAATTTCAGAAATGCACGACAAAAAATATTTAAAAAAAAAAACAAGCTTATTCTTCGCTGGAATCAGAGAGGCGAAATAACGCAAGTTGGGGGGGAAAGCCGATATGTCCTCTCCCGATGAAAGCAAGGATATGAAAATAGGGACGTGGAATGAACATAGAGAAGATGGAGGTGATCGATGAAGATAATCAACCAACAGCAGCAACAACAACCAGCATCAATCACCATCAATGGGAGGAACTTGAAAGAGGGTTAATTCCTTCAATTTTATCCGACTAGGAAGCAGAGTTTCAACAACAGCTGACCGAATGGATGAAGATGTCAATGTCGGCATCAGAAAGTCAAGATACGTCCCAGCCAGCCTCAACTAGTTTGGAAATCTTCTGCTTCTCATTTAGGCAGCATGAAGACCAAGATTCGGATTCTGTTCAACACAAATGTGAAGTCAGTCCCGTCAGTTCTTCTGTGTACGTACGGGCCAGAAACTTGCACTGCCTGTCACGGAATGGATTTCTAACAGGCTAGTATTGTAGACTTTTATAAACAGCTGGTCACTTCGCTGGCTGTCTCCATACTGAAGGTTAAATAACCAGAAAGAATATGTAACAAGTAGCTGTGAGAACAAACCAACAGGTGAGAGCCGATCGCTTAACAAATATGTAGGAGAAAATTGGGATGGATTGAGCATACATTGAGTAGGCTGTCGAATGATATCTCGCTCAATCCAGGCCATCCATCTCTTGAGGAGAATCCGAAGCGAAGCGACGAGTAGGTTGTCAGTGCGACTATGACATGGAGGAGATCGTGTGGCGAGGAGGAGGAAATGAGAGACTATGGGCAATCGTGGGGCTAGCCAGCTGAAGAGGACATCAGAGAATAGAACAAAGTGGATAGAAGACATGAAAAGGTTGACTGCTTTCGATCATAGATGTCTGCGATCTCTGTCTCACGTTAGGTGGTTTCACAAGGTAAGTAATGTTGACGTTAGGCGTAGAGTGTTGGGCAAACAGGGGAAATCAATCGACGAGGCTATAAAGTTACATAGACTAAGATGGCTAGGTCACGTGCTGCGCATGCCTAACCACCGCCTCCCCCGACGGGCATTGCTAGCTGATATAGGTTCAGGTTGGAAAAGAGCCAGTGGTGGCCAAACAAAAACATGGCCTCATCAATCCATGAAATCCTTGACAGTTAAACTGAGTCGGTCAGGTAGGGAGATGCAGACTCCCGGGTTGGGGTCCTCGGGACTCTAGGAATCAATGGCTGGAGACAATAGGTGACATGGCTCAAAATCGTTGTCAATGGCCAGCGCAGATGTATTCAGTCTCTGTAATCTTTCGTATTCCTTTCTACCATTACCCATTCTGTTTCACTCTTATACTTGTCAGACTCTATTGATTCTCTCCACTCATCTTCTTGTCTACCTTTGTGTGCTATTTGGAACGTGGCAACTCGAACTGGTGCACTTCGGTGCCAAGTTCTATGTTGAATCCAGACAGACAGACACAAAGTGGATATGTGTTGTTGAAGCCCTGTGTTCCACTCAGAACCCAAAGGAATAATAATTCTTATTAGGTGGAAGATTTCATGGAAATATTCCATTTGAGTTACAGAACACTTGATCGAACAAAGTCTGCATAGTTCACTGAATGATGTTTACGTGACTACAGGTTAGTGTAAATGTGATTCTGTCGTGATTTTTCTTCCGGAACTATTTCGAATGCTCGTGATAACTGACACAATCATCGAATAAAGGAATTTTCCTCTTTCACTATATAACCAGGGTTGACAGAAAACCACTAAGTGAGTGTTGTGCTACCATCATGCCGTCTCCTTGCTACTTCTTAAGTGATGAGTAGTCTCCATTCACGCTTTAATGAGAAACAAAATCAGTAGTTCACCGAATAATAGACGGTCTTAGGGCGAATTCGCGGAATGACTTCAAATACTTGACGAATTTACAAAAGCAGACTTCAGATTCTCACGGAAAAGTGAAGATCAAATGCCCGGGAAGGATATGCAACAAGGAAGTCTGACAAGGGGGTGGAGATGACTTAGACATACACAGAGGAAACTGTTAGGTGACATCAAACTCAAGTCCATCGAATAGAACCCGACAGGGAAGTGAACAATAAGTTGGTTATCAGTCGAAAGATGACACAGAGGAGAGAGATCATGTCGAGAGGAGACGAAAGCCGGTAGGTAGTTATCAAGTGCCACGTATAAATGATAGTCGATGTGTTGCAGTTCAATCTACCATACAAAGAGAGCGAGAAAAAGGATTCAAAAGTAATACAATGAGCAGAGAGAATAATAACACTGGAAGACAGTTAGATTTAATGGATAAGGGAGTAAATGCACCTGTGCCACTGAGAAAAATTTTGATCCATGTGTCTTCAATAGTCTAACACATCACTGGCTCTCGGTATCCTGAAAAGATTAGCTAGGCGGTGTACACACCTTTTTATATAACTCAAACTAAATAGTCAAAGACTCCGTCGAATCATCCCAGGTTTTGATCCAATCATACCTAACATCTGATTTGAAACGATAAAATGTCTGAGTGAAGATGAAACAGGGCCTACAAAAGATAGATACTTTCGCAATACTACATGGACTGCCTAAATCAACTTTTCCGACTAACTTTCAAAACGTCTTTTCAACTACTTATAAGTAACTAAGGTTTTGCTGCAAAATTTTCTGAGTATCTACTTTGTGAAAGCATTCTGCATAATATTTGAGTCTATTGTAACATTTCTAACAATGGAAACATAAAATTATTTAAATCAGTCAGCAAATCCTTACACCTGGTGCAGATATGGATTAAAGATTAACGAAAATATGTACGAAGATTTATTTCAGTTTAGAGTTTCCCGTCAACTGATTGGACAGAAGTGCTCGGTCTCAGGTTGACATGCCGGCTCCTTGAGCAGATGCTTCGACGATGTCTGGGCATGTAATTAGAAGTTAAATGTCGGATGGTGACTAGTAGTGGAATCCTGGATGTGCATTTCGTCTTATCTGGGACTCTTCAGTTGAATGCACCTGCATCCACAAGTGAGTAATTAAGACCCATTGCACAACAGGTGGCTTTCGTAGCCCAAGTGGTCTAGTGGGAACACTATCACTCACTGGGGATGCAGGAACATCCAGATGAACAGTCCCAAATAAGACGAAATACGCATCCTGGTTGATTCACCTGCCAGTCACCATCATCTACCAACTGATTTTACATATACGAAGAATTATTTATCGGTCATTCCTCGCCTTCTGAGTTGATCATTAGGCCTAGCAGCAGCACACCCAGATTACACTGAGTTCCCTGCCGTCACTCTAAAATGGCTCGAAGACTGCCTACTCGCTTTCAGTCCCTCTCCATATGATCTCCTCTATGTCAACCTTGAAAGCCACCCACGGCGAACTCTTCGCAATGGTCGTCTCCTCCTCAGAGTGTGACCGATCCATCTCCATTTTCCTGTGCACATTTGTAAGGCCAAAAGATTCTTGGCTCATCTGCTACCTGTCCGTGTACCTTACTCACTAGTCTTTCCGGTCCGCCTTCTGATTTTCAGTAACATAGAGTAATGCCAGCTGTTGATGAGAGTCTACAATTTGTTCGAAAGTGTTTTATAATAACAACACGCCCGCCAACACAGCACAAACACACACACACGCTTAAACACAATGAGACTAAAATATCAATCATTGATTATTGATTTCATAAAGAAAGGAAGAGTACTCATTAATTAATGAATGTGAATCCAATCTTTGGGGGGTGAAAAGAGATTAAAAATTACGCTGCTAATTCAATGAGAATTGAATGAAAAACTAATCAATAAAATTAATCGATACATACACACATATACTATAAGTGGTGAATAAATGTTTTTTCTTTCTATGCTTAATAATTATAGAAGTACATTGGTAAAGGACATTTTCTTTCCAAAGACACGTGAACGAAAGTATTAATTAATAAACGCTTAATTAGAAAGCGGGTGGAAAAATGATTACATGAGTTTACAGCTGATTAACAAACATACACGCACACACACACACACACACACACACACACACGAGATTTCGACGCATTCATTGAAGGAGAGCCAACATCTCAAGCGAAGGTGATAGATACACAACAAATTATGTATGAGTAGACGTCGAATAGGAAAGAATACATAAAAAAAATTAGATAGTTATGTCATTAAAACGCACAAAATAAGTAAAAAGATGAGTCACATAAGCTGTGAAATTCTTTAACGAAAAAAAATTAATAAGAGTTTATAATTTCTTAATCGATTTCATTTTGCTATGTGTTTGCTGTCCGACTTGATGTCGACACGTTCGTCCATTGCGATTATCAGAACAAAATTCGATTGCTAATATCATTTTGTTTGTTTTTGTTTTTTTCAAAATAAAAATGTTTTTTTACTTATCTTTTATTACAAAAATAACAATAATAGAAAATAAAAGTTTTTGAAAATGATTTGGTTTATCCGAGAGAGTGAGAGAGAGAGCATGATTGATTCGAATGAGTAAAAGTGGGTGGAGTAGTAGTAGTAGTAGTGTATTTTTCAACTGTCAAATTTTTAAGCATCAACATTTGTATTTAAAGGAGTTGTTGAAAAGGTTCTGGATGGTGATGGCGGTGGTGAGGATGTCGACTCAGCGGAACGTATACAACACTGACGAGTTTCATTAGCCACTAGACGGAAGAGTAACTAGACGAAAAAAATGGAAAACAAACAAAACGACAATAACAACAACAACATTACACTAGAATGGTTAGATCATAAGTGCCTGCGTTCTATCTCCCGTGTGATGTGGTATAATAAAGTGAGCAATATTGAGGATAGGCTTCGGTCGAGTGCTAGGTAGGTAGGAGGGGAAATCAATAGACGAGACTGTCAAGCTACATCGACTGATATGGTTAGGACATGTGTTACGCATGCATGCCTAGCCATCGCCTTTCTCGACAACAGGCAATGCTAGCTGACATAGGGTTAGGTTGAAAAAGAGCTAGCGACGGTCATAGCAAATCATGGCACTAGTCAAGGAAATCCACAACAGTTAGTTTAAGCCAGCCACGTGGGAAGGTTTAGACTGGGTGGCTGGTTGGGATCTTCGGGACGGTAAAGACCGATAGCTTGAGACACAATTGATGATATGGCTCAAAATCGTTGTCACTGACTGGTGCAGATGCATCCACTCCTTGTGACTTATAATTTCCAATGAAACTGTATTGTTCTTCGATATTACTATTCTTTTTGCCTCATATCTCTGTTTACTGTCTCTATTTTGCGTTTCCTTTTACTTTCTTCGCTTTCTTTGTGTGCTACAAAGAGTGAGAGTGGCGACTTGAGCTGCTGCACATGGGTGCAAAGTTCTGCGTCGAAAACAGACAGAAAGGCAGACAGTGTCTCTCAAGGCCATTTAAAGAATATATATATATGCATATATGCAAGCTCTGTCAATCATTTTCACTGTTGATATGGGACAGTGAAAGCTATCCACGTCAACAGTCACTCTTGTCTTCTTGCATGGCGTTTTCGGTAGTATTGTATCGTGGTGTTGTTGTTGCTAATATCGGTTAGAACAATAGGCTGGCGAATCGACTAGGTAGGAAATTTGTTAACGCAAGTACACGTGTACATTTATAAAATTATATTTGAAAAATCTCAGCGAAATTCAAATGATTAATTCCAACGTTTCGTTCTGCAATCTGGTCCCAACTTCTTCAGGGAAATTAATCGAAATTAACTGCAATTTCACATTAACTACACGTGCACTAATAGGCATATCAGTGAGGAAAGAGTAAGGAAGGGAATTGTGAAATGCGTACTTTGTAGTCTGTTCTAAAAGAATCGATGTGTCAGTCAGACCAAACCATTATCTTCATATCTTCTGATGGCTACATATCCATGGAAGTCTTTTCTTCATTCCATCCTCATTCTCCATGAGGTGATGAGTTTAGGAGTTGAGCTTCTTAGCAAGAATACTACCTTCCAACCACTTAGTTGGCGGTGTGTGGGGGTTGGGGATCCATCCTGGCCTTAATAACTGTTTAGAAAAAAATGCAATCTGAACATTTATTGTCCTTAAAATACTTGATCCTTCTTGTACTGTATTCTTTTTCTCGCAAGTATCGTGAAGTGTTTCATGTTTTCACTTTCTTCGCATTAGTGAAGCTGTAGCCATTCAGATGGACAGATAACAGATTGTCTGCATTATAATTATTGTTCCCTTGAGTTTCTAGTGGAACATAGAACTTCAACTGCACATATCCATTTGCTTCTGTCTTCCTTCTGCTGTACTTTTCACCTGCATCCATGTTAGTCCATCCCGTTTCAACTCTTCACACGATCTCCTTCATGTCACCCCTGGACTGACGTCCCACTTGCCGCTTCCCTTTCGGCCTGGTTCCACTCGAGCAATGGCCTGACGCGCGATGTCACCCAGCGGCCTCCTCAGCGAGTGTCCAATCCATCTCCACTTTTTCCTCCATATTTGTTGGCCGATTGGTTTTTGTTTTGTTTGTTCCCATAGTTTCTTGTTGGTGATTCTTTCCGGCCCGGCCATCTGATCTACAGTATAGAGCGAAGACAGTTGTTGATGAAGGTCTGCAACTGGCTGGCTGTTTGAAATATTCTTTGTGAGCCGCCAAGTATCTGGTCCGTATAGGAGAACTTACTGACTTGACGTTTGTATTGAAAATCCCACCGAATTTTGTTGTTGATGCTGAGTGACGAAGATTTCCAGATTAGTTTCAGGTTGATGAATGTGTTTTTCGCTCGCCTTCCCGATTCTCGCTCGATTTGACATCCTCGTCCGTTCCGACTGTCTGTAGTTGAGACAATGCTCCTTAGAAAAGTGAATGATCGTGATTGGCACTGGATGTTGCTGTTGTTGTTAGTTGGTTATTTTTATAACCTGCGTCGGCAAAGTTAAACTTTCGACACCACTAACAACCAATCAGCAAACGACCTTGAACGGACCAGTCACATTAAAGAGGCATATATGATGAATGGAAATGTATATTTGTAGAAAAAAGCATAAAATAGAGAATAAAAATGTTACATGGGTTATCTTTCTCGAACATGTGAGAGAAAAATCTCCCAGTTTAGCATGGGACTGTCAATGGAGAAGTTACACCATATCCTGTACAAATATTCATCCTAATGACCTTAATTGAGATCCATTTATAGCCCTTATCCTATTTTTCAACCTGCCCCAAAATCTTTCAATAGAATTTGTATGTGTCCTCGTAACGGGATCCACAAAATCACTTGAATGGTTGACTGTATGATGAATATATCTCAGAGATGACAGTGAATTGTAGCCTTTCCACTCGTCGGTGTGTATAATTGACCCCCGCTTAACAAGTCTGGTAATAATAGGTATAAGAGTAGTTGCTTTTCTATCTGCTATCCTTAGGGAGAGAAGCGACCTAGCGAAAAAAGTTCCTACGAAATATTACAATTATCAGCTTACTCTCTCTAGCGTTAGTAGGCTTCAAACATATAGCACAACGATGAACAAACCCATCAGTTGATTTGGTATAGCTTTGTAAAGTCATGATACCACCACACAAACAAATTCGCTCTTTCCGGCGCAACTCAAATCCAGGGAATACTGGGAAATGCTAACCTCCTCGAAATGCAACAATAGCTTTGTAAGGTCACGCATTAGAAATGAATCAAGCGCTATACAACATTGAACTGCGTTCGTGAACCTTATTGGATAATTCGACATCGTTCGTGAATCTCATTGGATAACTCGCTGATTGGTAGTTAGTGGTGTCGAAAGTTTAACTTCGCCCCTGCGTCTTGTCTATGTTCACCTGGAGTCCTCTCTTTGCTGGCTGCTTCTTCGACCGGTTTGTCGGTTTTCGCTTGTAAGTTTTCGATTTTGTGCGACATCAAACATAAATCATCCACACGCGAAACCCAGGTCTTCTAGGTTCTTCTCGTCGGTCCAGGATATCCCTGTCTGCTCGTTTCCCACTGTCTGACGACGCATAATCCAGTCGGTCCACCACAATTAGGAATATCATTGGTGATAATAAGCCAGCACCCTTGTCTGACTCCTGTGTTTATTCCAAACGCCTCGCTGAGTTTTCTGTTGTGGATGACTTGACATGTGCCGTTGTCATACAGCTGTAGAATAAGGTTGATGAATATTTTGGGTACGCTGTAGTACTCGAGTAGTTTCCAAATTAGTTCGCGGTCAACGCTGTCGAAGGCCTCCTCAAAGTCTATAAAGTTGAGGTAGAGGTTTGATTGCCATTCCATGCTTTGTTCGATGATGATGCGTAGAGTTGCAATTTGGTCAGAACATGATTTGCCTTTCCTGAGTTCAGCTTGTTCTGGTCGGAGTTCTGTATCCAGTGCGTCCTTTAATCTCTCCAGGATGATGCGACTCAGGATTTTACTTGGCGTCGATAGGAGCATGATTCCTCGCCAGTTCTTGCAGAGTCCTAAGTCGCCCTTCTTTGGTAGTTTCACGAGGTAACCTTTCCTCCAGTCAGTAGGCACCTTTCCCTCCTTCCAGACCTTTTGCAATAATGGAGTCAGCATATTTGCTGTCGTCTCTGGGTCCGCTTTCAGTGCTTCAGGGGGTATTCCATCTGGTCCAGATGCTTTCCCAGCTTTCAGAAGGTTGTTTGCATTCAAGACATCAGCTTTCTGCATAGAAAACAGAATTCTTCAAGAGCTTGTACTACAACGGTAATGATCTTTTGCTTTCCAACCAAATTGGTATTTCAATAGAGAAAGAAAGAAAGACCAGATTTGCAGTACAAAATGATGACATCATTCTATTACACAGGTTCCCCTCATCACCTGAATACCACTACCTCAAATGACAATGGTTATAAATAATAATAACATTTCATACTTCAATGCTTGAAAGGTGGTAATAGAGAAAACATTATAAGATGAACGCATCCAGAATATAAGTATTACAACTATTTTTAGTTTAAGTTACTATCAATTTATATGCCATCAAACTATGAAAGAAAAAAATGGGGATGACAGAAGGCAGAAAAATCTAATAAACAGTGTTAGCAATAAAAAGATGCTTCCCTGCAGCCAATCTGGTGACACTAAACAGCAATACATGCTCCTCTATAAGCCAATCGAAACTGGATAAGTACAATGCTGATGTTACCTCCAACTGCATTTATAAATTTATGTGCACCTGTGGCGGCAAGTACATTGGAAGGACAAAAAGAAGGGCTTCTATCATCCGGTCTTCAGAGCATATTCCAAGAAACTTATGCTTACAACGAAGCAGATATTTACAAAGTGCAATATTACCAGACACCCATCTTGTGGATACGGTGGGTGTACTGGTAGTAGGTACTATAAGGACCGGCCAAGTTAAACATTAAACATCACTAACTTCCAATCAGCGAATGACGTCTAATTATCCAATGAGATTCACGAACGTTAGTTGAATGTTGTATAGAGCTTGATTCATTTTCGAATGCGTGCCCTAACAAGGTTACGGTCACAATTCGAGGAGGATAGTGTTTTCCAGTATTGCCTGGATGTAGGATTGATTCGGAAGGAGATAACTTGTTCGTGTGGTGGTGTCATGACTTTGAAAAGCTTTAGTAGGTCAACTGATGGATTCGCCCACCGTTATGCGATATGCTTGAAGGCAGTTAGTATTAGGGAGGGTAAGCTGATAATTTTAATATTTCGTAGGAATTTTTTGCAAGGTCACACCTCTCCTTCACGCAAATTTTGTATATCTGCAACTACTGGGTCTTGAAACAGCCAGTGAGAGCCGCAGCTGCTAAGACAGAAAATAGCCTCGTCTCAACAGTTCAATGGTATCAGCATTGCAGAGATATTGCTTCATGGAAAATGGAGAAAATCACTTCTTTGTTGGGTGGGGAAGAGGTTGTTGTGCACGTCGATGAAACTGTGTTGGTGGAAAAGAAATACAACCGTGGTCGGCAGCGAACGAACAATATTTAGGTAATAGGCTTGTATAACACCTCTCTCCGAAAGGGATTCGTCGAAAGGATAGCAGACAGAAAAGCAACTACTTTAATACCTATTATTACTAGACTTGTAAAACGAGGATCTATAATACATACGGACGAATGGAAAGGTTACAATCCCCTGTCATCTCTGAGATATATTCATCATAGAGTCAACCATTCAAGTGATTTTGTCGATCCCGTTACGAGGACACATACAAATTCTATTGAAGGATTTTGGGGCTGGTTGAAAAATAGAATAAGGGCTATAAATGGATCTCAAAAGAATCTCATTTATAGTCATTTGGATGAATATATGTACAGAATGTGATGTAACTTTTCTAATGACAGTCCGATGCTTAACTGGGACATGTTTCTCACACATGTTAGGGAAAGATACTCCTGTAACAGTTTTCTCCTTCTTTTATGCTTTTTTTTCTATAAATATACGTTTCCATCTATCATAAATGCCTCTTTCGTGTGATTGGTTCATTCAAGGGCGTTTGCTGATTGGTTGTTAGTGGTATCGAAAGTTTAACTTTGCCATCATCAAAGTTTTGATGATGATTGAACTGACCAACTAATCAGCCTGTTTCTAAAAAAATTAACTAATTATAATTCATTAGTTTTAATTGACCAATCAAAATAAAGCATTGACTTACAATAGCAGCTAAAGCTAATGCTATCATAAGCATAACAATAATAACTGACCAACCATACGGTTTCAATAGACCGCATAATAATGGACCTAGCGCTGCACCTAAGAAATACAAAATAACAGATGGGAAAGAGATGAATAGTGAACGCAGGACTTTATAATTTGAAACATTACTATAAGCAATAATAGTGATAGTGGATAGTGAAGTGATGACGTGATTAGTTCAGTCAAGTGTAACGACAGAAGACAAGGGCCAGGCAACAGATCGTTTATTCAGAAAATCAACAGTGAAGTGGTCAACACGCTCTACCACTTCACTCCCTCTGCAACTTTAAGCTAGGAGTGAGTCGACGTAGTCTAGTCCAGTCCAGTCGTGTAGCCTCATCTTATATTTGACAGCATAAGCGAATCGCATGTCAAACATTCGAAGATTGCTGCTCATGCTCAAGGTGTTCAGAAGACTGTGCATTTTGTCAGCGTCTTCACCTAAAAGGACTGTATTATCTGCATATTCTAAGTAATCGGAATAACAAGTCAATCTCTGAGTCGCTGAAGTCAGTTGGAGTTAGGTCCATTAGTACATCTATGATGAAATCAAAGAGAAATGGAGACATAAAGCATCCCTGACGGACACCACTGGTCGTCATCACAGTTGTCAGATGATAACTCTCCGTCAGCCCTCACCTGACTGACTGCAAGAGTTCCAGCAGAGTGCCTTGATCAGTGCAATGTATTTCCTCAACATTCCCTTCCTAGCCAAACATTGCCATAGTACCTCTCGGTCAATGGATTCGAATGTCGCCTTCAGGTCAAGACATATGACGATTGTTGGATGGAGTGTGGCGACTTGAACTGTTGCACATCGGTGCAAAGTTCTATGTTGAAAGCAATCAATCAGTCAGTTGATTTAAACAAGGCATATCCATGAAACAATAGAACAGAATAGAATGAAAAGAAAACAAAAGACGAAAAGAACCGCACTACTTACCAACTGAACCTGTTCCATCAATTATGCCTGTTACAGTAGCCAATGCACGTGAATTCTCCGCCAATGATGGATGTGTCCCGAGATCAGCTGATACTGCTGTTGTAATCAAACAGTATGGCCCGTTAACAAATAAACCCAAGGCAATAAGTAAGCCTAAGACAAAAAAAGACAAACAGAGTTTATTATCATTACTATTAATATTACGAATATTTGTTAAAAAGTGTTAACGTGGAATAGAAAAAGACACGTAGCATTGTGATGTAACGCTCACATAATATTAATAATAATAATATTATTACTATTCAAGTATAGGTTTTTAGGGATTCGATTGGTTGGTTACAAGATTTCATCATGAGTTGACATCGGTTAGAGAACCATTAGAAAACCCGTCAGGGGGTACTGAACAGCTGTTTTCTCCGTCCTAATTTGGGAATATTCAGCAGTACGCACTCAGTGTGAGGTTCGAAACCAGGACTTTCTCGTTACAGGGCAAGTTCATAGACCATTTGGCCACTAGGACCCCATCCAATAGCCAGCCTCATGAATTCCAAATTCTGTCAATTCACGATAAATTGCGACCACTAGCCAAAGTCTTCGGCGAGTATTTGTCCTCACACCCGACCTGATGTGACCTACTGGTCACGGCTTCCCAATAGAACCCCAGGTAACTACCTGCCTGAACAGGACCAGTCGCTAGTGAGTATCTGTCATGAATTGGCAGAAGTTGGAATTCATGAGCCATTAGATTGGGTCCCAGTGGCTGAATGGTCTATGAGCTGGCCGATGTCAGATCATGATGAAACTCTATCACTAATTATTATTGTTGTATACTATTATATTATATCCTTATGTTCTGAGTGGAATATTGAGCTTTAACAGAACGCCTCTATTTTATCCTGCTTTTTGCAGTCCTTTTTAACTTTTTACACGATTCCCCATGAGTTCTCCGCTTCTCCTCACAAGATCTCCCTTGCCAATGTTTCATGTTGCCAATCCTACGCCCGGAAAAAGATTGAGCGACTGGCTTGTTTCAACATAGAACTTTCGACAGAAGTGCACCACTTCAACTTGCAACAATCCATGTAGAACACAAACGGAGACAAAAGAGACTTAAACAAAAAGAGATCCAAAAGAACGATGATAGTAAGCAGAATTGTGAGGTAGAAATAAGAGTAACACTGAAAATCATAAGGGTTTAATTGGATATGGTATATATCCCGAAGAATGAAGAGACCTTTGCCATAGTGAAAAAGATTTTGAGCCATATTACCGATTGTCTTCAGGCCAATGGTTCTTAGAATCCCAAACATCCTAACTAGGAAGTATACAATTCCTTGCATGGCTAAAACTAACTACTAACGCCAATTTTGCTCACCCTATTATACCACTTTATATGGAAGATAGAACGCATATGTCTGCGGTCAAAGACAACCATCCTTTGTACTTTCTCATCACTCCCTTCACTGTTAAGCATTGCCATAGTACCACGTCATCGACGGAGTTGAATGTCGCCTTCAGGTAAAGAAATATGACAATCGTTGAACTCCTGTAAGTAAGCCTATAGTTCCAGAATCTGTTGAAGGGTGAATATATGGTCAATACACCTTTTACCTGGTCTAAAGTCTACCTGGTTTCCTTGAGCACCACTCAGTCTGCGCATGACTATTGAGTCTAGAACTTTAGATAACATATTAGTCAAGTTAATTCCCCTATGACTATCATAGGAAGACTTGTCTCCCTTCTTGTATACTAGGGTGATCAATGACTTATACCGGTCAGTAGGGACTATCTCCAATTCCTAAAGGTTGCCTAGTACCTCAGTCGATCCAGACAGCTATAAGTCATCCTCATTCTGACACATCTCTACAGAAATTCCATTACGTCCTGCTGTTTTGCCTCACTTAAAATTAAAAACAGTCTTTGTAACATTAATTACATATAGTGAACCAATGTCTACATTCATTTCAGGTAAGTGTTGGATGGTGTGCAAGTAAGGAATACCTGCTACCTAAAACGTCCCAATAGTTGAATGCTGAGAGCTAATTAGAGTGCCATTTTTCTCGGAAAAAGAGAGAAGGTTAGATGTGGGGCTAGTGACACAATCCCAGGAAATCAATCCACTTGATGGAGAATCTTCAAAGATCAGACAAATATATATAAAAAATAAACCTATTCCTCGATGGAATCGGAGAGACACAGATCAGTGAAAGCCTTCTGGGAACAAGTTAGATGATGTGTCTTCTTTCGATCAGAGTGAAAATAACCATAGGAACATAGAGTATTTGCACAATGTTTGGATCTGGGGTTGTGGCTAAGAATGCTAGAGAGATGAGAAGATACGATTTAGTACCTCTGCAAATCTGTGAGAGGAGATGAGATGTAAGTGTTCTCTTCAATTTGTTCACTTGACAGCAAATAACCTACTCCGTTCGCTCAAACAACAACCACAAGCATACTACTGAGGGAGTAGCTATCATGATTCCACCTAATAGTGTAGATTTACACAAAAAGTACCTAGGAAATAAGCAGAATACTGTATCTACCTTCTCCAAAGAAGTCCAAAGAGGCCGGCATGATTTGATTTGGTATGACGCTTCCCAGCATTCCCTGTATCTGATTAGTTCTTGAAGGTCAACTTTTGAAAGGTCTTGGCTTTGAATATGATACTTTAACTTAGCCAGAATGCGTAACATATCCTAGCCGTCTCTTTCCTCAATAGTCAATGTTAGCTGACGAAGTATGGGACTGGATAAAAGTTGGGAGTGATCAAACGAAGACATGGGATCAGTCCATAAAATATTTGACAGTTAGTTCAAACCACCTAGAGAGATGTGGACTGTCTGGTTGGGTTCCTAGGGATTCTAAAAGTCAATGACTGGAAATAGTTCTTAGTAGTCCAGATTTATTCACTCTTTGTGATCTCTCATATCTACTAAACAGTCATATTCTTTCTCCCTCACATTTCTACTTATTATTTCTCTTTCGAATCTCTTCTTATCTTGCTATTGTCTTTCTTTGTGAGGTAAATGGAGTGTTCCAACTCGAGATGATGAACTTCTGTGCAAATTTCTATGTTGAAGCCAGTCAGTTAGTCAATATACCTTCTGAATAACCGATTGCTTGACACTCATATAGGTAATCACTGGAAGGAAAGATATAATTATCTACCCTCCTTAAACATTCCAATTTATTCCAGTTAAGCTTACTTCACGGACTGATATAAGTTAAACACTCAGAGTATTGAACACCTGTTTCGTCGTGATTTGGGACTCTTCGCCGACACAGAAACCAAAGACGGAACCTAAATTCTTCAAGTTACAACGTCAGCCCTCTTGACTATTCAAGCCACTTATTTTTGCAGTTCATATAACCTGTGAATATTAACATCTGCTATATGGAAGTGCTTTTGTAAGTGTTTGGGCGGTTATTACTTCTCGGCTGAACACACCACTGTGAAACTTGATTGATTCTTCGGATACCTAAAACAGAAAGAGGGTTAGTGTTGCGTGACCACAGAAGCCAAGGGACACAACTGCTTGAAGCCAGCCGGTCACACACGGCCTGTATGAACTGGTTTCTTGGATTAGTTACATATTAGTGAATTTACAGCCGGTTACGGACCACCGTCGATGAGGTAAGTCGGGATATACAATCTTTGGGGTTGACCTTCACTAACCCCCTCTCCCCAGAGTGAAGAGACAGCATAGCAGACTGGCATCCTGGTCATCTGAGTGGGGGGAAATACCTTACTGCAGTTACATCTCTGTTCCTCAGCAGTACAACTTCGCCCAAAGTGTAAAAAAAGTCCTAAAACTATGCCGGTAACTGCTTTTAGTCTAATCGCTATCTTAACAACCTTCCTGGCATGGTAGGATCTGCAGGAACAATAGTTCCAGCAAGTGTAGCTTGTTGGGTCAGTGTGCGATATGCAAGCCCGACCACCACGTTAAGGTAGCACAGTAAAACTGTGTCGATCAGTGCGCCATGGTTGAGCATACATTCCATCACAATTGACAGGGGGGGAGACAGTCTCACAGAGACAAAACTTCCCACTAGAACTTAAAGATATCAAATCTATAGCCAGTAATAGGTGGGTTTCGCCGGTGTGCATACTGCCGATGAGTCTCCAACTAGAACAAAACACACTAATATATGTGCAAAACTTCGGAGCTGTGATAGTAAGTAATTCCATATTAGTTTGTTTATTATATGTATCACACATACACTCAAAGGTGGAGGCTATTCAATTCACTCATGAATTGCAATTCCAGGAAGGGGAGCTTCCAATGTTAGATTGTAGAGTAGAAGATGAGAAGTTAAACACACTAGTGTGTGTTTACAGAAAACCTACACATTCAAACAGAAATTCGGACTTCCGATCATTCCATCTTATGTCAGAAAAAATAGGATGGGTGAAATGTTTAAGTAATAGAGCACAAATCTAAGTAGTACCAAGGGAAATCTAAGACAGGAGTTGATACACATAAAAGAAGCCCTGAAACTCAATAATTAGCCTGATAAATTAGTCAGTAAATATGCAGGGTAATGTAAAAATAAAATAAATAATGATAGTAGTGATAATGGTTATAATAATAATGACAACACGCATGTCAAATGTGCGCAAGACAACACCAACAATAAGGTAGCTAAATCACCAGTAGTAATTCCATCCAAGGAAGGAACCTCGGAAACCACCATACGCAGAATTCTTAACAAGGCAGGAATAGAAGTGACCACCATTCAAACCAACCACAAACTCAATTAGAAACAAGCTTTGTCAGTTAAAGGATCAGTCCTGTGGAGCCGTCGAAACAAAACAATTTAGTTTATCTAATACCCTGTCTGCAGTCATTGTCAGGTCAAATACATAGGCCAAACTAGTAGAACAGAAGCAGTCAAACTAGCCCAGCATAAAAACCTAGCAGCAAAATCTAGATTGGTTGACCCGAATATGATAAGAAATCTAGAGAATAGTTCAGCTATACCACTCACTACATGCAATTACACACATCACAACACAACCATACAATAGGATGGGATGGGATAGGATGACAGTTTTAATACCTAATGTCACAGGGTGAATGGAGGGAGAGATTGACGTCAACGGAAGCTTTGTTTATCTAATCAACAGACAGGGAATACGTGTAATAGGA